CACTGATGCAACTTCGCATGTGGGCTCCAGCGACTAAGGCAAAATAGAAGAAAAAACATGGTTGACGTCAGCCTTGCATTAAACTCACTCCGGGCTCTCGGGCTAGCAACTCTTCACGGGCCTGCTTGGGCTCCCTCGTCAGCACACACTGGGGTTGATTGCTCGGGCTCTCTGGCCCTGTTCCCTCGCCTGTCCCTCGGGCTCCAGCACATGCTGGAGCTGTTCTCAGGGCGGATTGAAATGCCTTTAGCCTTTCCATGCCACACCCGAGACTAGTCTTACCCTTCAAGGTAAGGGATACCTCAAACTTCGACAAAAAAAATGCATAACAACTTACATAGTACGAATACATTGTAACTGTAATATCTCGTGCTAATAATATAAGAACATAAGCTAATATGAAACACCATAATAGTTGTAATACACATACCATAAAATTCAATTCTCCTCCAATAGTTTAACATAAACTATTCATCGAGTTGGATGATACCAAATAGGCAAAAAGATTTGGAATCAAACATGTAGGACCATCGACCCTTATCACATTAATATTTTACGTTTACGTGTACATATCACTTATATAAATAAATAAATAAATAATATATATATATACATATTGTGTACCTATCACATATATATATATATATATAAATAAATAAATATGTATATATATATATATAATATTTTGCGTTTACATGTACCTAATACCTATCATTTATATAAATAAATATATATATATATATATATATATATATATATATATATATATTAAAGAATGTTATGTGCAGCTTGATCCAATGACGTATTGCCCTACACGAGGTTCACATGAGAGCGTAGGATTTGCCTTTCTTGGTAATTTCTTATAAGTTATTTGTTTGATGTTGAAGAAACAAAAATGGTAATGTTAGAGAGACTAAATTTAGAGATAAAATTTACAAACTAAATGATGTGTCACTAATAGGAATGAGTACATTTTTATCAACGCCACCCAAGTAATTAACTAATCATCAACTTCCATGTTCTTTAGTTTCCAAAATTTTGTTTACAAATTTAGTTTTCTTAGCATTACTCAACGTATTATACTTAAATCAATAAATTTTGAAAGTAGAACACCAACTCTGCCACTGAAAGAGTAAATTGGAGCAATGCTCCTTCAACTTTAACCTAATTGGAGCAATGATCCCTTAACTAAAAATCCATTACCATTGGTTGTTCAAGTCATCAAAACGTGCAGCTATGGTCATTTTTGTCAATTCCGTTAGAACTTTCGTCAAAATGAGTCATGTATTATGCACGTAAGGCTAAATCAAGGGGCAAATATGGAAAATCAAATAAGAAAAATTATATAAATAGGTCCCTTAACTTTAACTCAATTGGAGCAATGGTCCCTCAACTAAAACTCATTTTGACAAAATTCTGACGGAGTTAACAAAAATGACCATAGCTACACGTATTGATAAGCTTAGGGACCAATGGTAATAAAATTTTAGTTGAGAGACCATTACTCCAATTTTATTAAAGTTGAGGAACCATTTCTACAATTTACTCCCATTGAAATTAGGTTTTTAATTTTTAATAGATATGATTCCATCCAATATCTTCAATTATTAGCAAATTAGCTTTTCGATTGAAATGATTACATGCAATCTCTTCGATTATTGGCAAAATGTCTTATGTCAAACGTATGCAGTAAATAAACTAAATAAAGTAATCAATTTACGGTTTTTTTTAATAACATTCATTAAATAAACTAAAGTCTCTAATGAAAAGATGTGCCATCTGATTGTGGTCAGGGTGGGCGGCAAAAGAATATATAACAATTTACATAGCACGAATATATTGTTATTGTAAAGTCTTGTGCTAATAATATAATTAAGAACATAAATTGACATGAAACATTATAATAGTGGTAATACTCATGTCATATAAGTCATTCTCCTTCAATAAAAAAAACATTTAAGAGCAATGAATGCTAGTTTAACATAAACCATTCATGAGTTGGGTGATAACAAATTGGCATGCATGGGAAATTACATGCTCTCAACACCAACTTGTACTGTTTGGGCTAATTAAACCCATTGATGTGGAACGACATCGTCGGTGCTTTGATCCCGTCAGTGCGTATTTGTGAATTCATGTAACAAAATAACTGATATCCTACACTCTAGCTGCTCCTCCGGTCTTCAACCATGCATGTGCCCCAGGTTTAGTGATGAATACCGTGCCAAGATGGCAAGATTAATCACATAAATCAAATCATTTCAATCATATTAATCCTTTAGAATTTCTTTAAATTAATACTGCTCATGTTACGTTAGGTAGATTTTGAAAGAAGTTGAGATTCTATCATAACATTCATTGATAATAAGAAGAGTATCCCAACTCCTTATATCATTATATGCACATGCGATGTCCTTTTTTTTTTTTCTTTTATAATATTTTGTGGTTGGAAAATTTGAGCCAGGAGATTATGTTGTGGCTGGTTGAGTACTGTATGTTGGATCAAACTATATATGCTAGTTAACCCTTGAAAAAAACAGCCACGACCTTTAACACCCCTCTTCTGCGCCTTTCCTATTCTGAATATACCATGAAAACACCTCAACCTCCTCCTCCTGTTGTTCCCCGATACTTGCAAGAAAATGAACCTAGCCAAGAAGACAAAGACCTTATATCCTCTCTACCTACAGAAAGAGGTTGGATTGGAAATAGCCTTCACAAGTACCAAGGTTTTTGGCAGGCAACTGCGCACATGCAGGGAGTTTTGGCATGCCAGAAACACTTTCGAGCCCTAGAATCTGATATCATTCTCGTTACCACTCCCAAATCAGGCACGACTTGGCTCAAGGCAATTTTGTTTGCCCTAGTGAAACGAGCGCACTATCTGGACCTTCGGCGACACCCTTTGCTCACAGAAAACCCTCATGTTCTTGTGCCCTGTTTGGAGTTAGATGTCTACACTGACAAACACGTACTTCCTGACCTCTCCTCCCTGGCCCCTCCGAGGCTCTTTTCGACTCATTTACCGTATGTTTCTCTGCCGGATTCTGTCAAACATTCCGGTTGCAAAGTTGTTTACTTGTGTAGAGATCCTAAAGATGCTTTTGTTTCACTTTGGCACTTCGTGAACAAACTGAGACCCGTGGGTAGTGGAACCATGTCACTTCACGAAGCGTTCGATAAGTTCTGCCGGGGAGTGAGTTCGTTCGGACCCTTTTGGGATCATGTACTAGGGTTTTGGAAGGAGAGCTTAAAGAGGCCTGAAACTGCATTTTTCATCAAGTTTGAGGAAATGAAACAAGAGCCCGCTCTTCAACTGAGGAGGCTGGCCGAGTTCTTGGGGTGCCCATTTTCCCCGGAAGAAGAGACGCATGGAATTGTGGACGGTATCTTAAGGTTGTGTAGTTTTGACAATTTAAGCAATTTGGTTGTGAATAAAAGTGGGAAATTGCCGGCCGGTTTGGAGAATAGTGCATTCTTTAGGAAAGGTGAAGTTGGAGATTGGACGAATTATTTGACCACTGAGATGGTGAAAAAACTAGACTCCATTACTCAAGAGCAGTTGCATGGTTCCGGGCTAAAGTTCTAGGGTTTGCATCTTTTTTTCTCTCTGTGTGAGTCTTTATCTGTGTGTGAGAGTTCTTCTCCTTGTGAGCGAGTTTTTCAAATTTTGGTAAATCGTTTTGTCACTCTAGCCATAGCCAAGGTCGGCGGCAACCCATTATCTGTGTGTGAGGGTTTCTTTGTGTGTTTTTCTGTTTAGAGCTCATCTTTTAGGTTGGGCTTTTCGTTTGTAGTTGTTTTGGAGGTGCCAATGTTGTTGTGTGCTTTATGTGTTTTTAAGGCCTCCACTCTTATATATGTGGTGTGTTGGTAATAAAACGTCACCTTGTGACAGAAAAAAAAAAAGGTTCTAGGGTTTGCTTATTGCTGCTTATGACATCTTTGTTTATTTGGGGCCGAGAAGTCATTAATGAGGAAGAGAAAGAAAGGAAGTGTATGGGATCAACTAGTTCCTTAGTATTAATAAACCTTGACGTATCGCATATCAACTAGTTACCTAGTAGTAACTCATCTCTATTTTTTCCATGTGTAGCATAGGAGAAATCTGGAATTATACTAATCTCGGTACTCATGTTTAATAAACGTTGGAATAAGTCACGAATGAGAAATTGAATTATTAATTCCATATAAGTAATGATAAACTAGTGCTTAATATTTTTTGTCATCCTCTCTGCAAATCAGTAATCCAACTCTAATGACTAAAATTACCACTACTTCCACCTTCCTAGGAAAGTTTGATCACTACAAAAAAAGGCAATAATCACGCTTTGAAAGTATCGAAGGAGTGAGAGGCTCCCTTAGGCTCTTTCTTTTTTATTTGCATCAGATCTGTTTCGATGCTTAAAACTGTGATAATTAATTCGAGTTGATGCTTTAGAATATGGACCATATGGGTATATAATATAGTCTTGAATATTAGGATAACTGAATAAAATGATAAAACATAGGATAACTGAAACAACTTAACATAGTTTTAAGTTTTTAGTTTGCATGCCTTTTCTTGCATGTTTATGTTACAACTTTCAATAGCGGAGCTATAATTTCATATGTTGGAGGACCTCTCACATGCATAGGCAATTTGAACTCTATGCATTAGACATTGGAGTAATACGCATAAAAACTGAAAGGCTTTAAATTCAATAGAGAGAACTAAAACATTGCACAAACCCAAAAATCCCGAATATGAGGTATGGAGTAAGCAATTAAAGCCGAAGAAAACTTGATAGAATAAAGACGAGAAGTGAAGACCACATTAATTGGGTCTCCATAATTTTCAATAATTTTTAGCTCAGTCCGGCCGCAGGACTCCTCCGTATTCTTATTGTTTCCAGCGCAAGGCGGCCCATGCCTTTTATGATGAAGCCCAGAAGCCCAAGCATTTTTTGTGGGCTCAACTCAAGCCTCAGATCCAACATTCCATCACAATGACAAACTGATTTGGAAAAATATGTATTTCATTTATAATTCATATTTGCTTGCCGTTTCATCCAAGTTTTAGTAGAAATCGTTAAAAATCAAACTACATATGCAAAGCAATTCATCGAATCTAGTAGAAATCGTTGGGTTTGCCAATTTTGATGTTCTGCTCGCCTAAGAAAGCCGTTATAGCGTTCTTTTGCCAACTTTTGAAACTCCTGCAATCAACAATCAAAAGTTGTATAAGATAACCTTTCAATAATACTTATGCAAGCGAAAACAAAATCTCTCATGCAATCAACAAACGTCGGCTTGCCTAAGAGTTGTAGCTTTCAACCTTCTTGTGTTTCAGATTACATCTTTTGGGACCTAAAAATGTTTGATATGCAAGTCACGTATTAACAAAGACCTAACTTACTTTTGATCAAGATGAGCTATAACTTCCCCACCAGGGAAAGCCGACTGGGTAGCCTCAAATGCTGCTTTGATTGAGTGTTTCCAGGTTCCACCAATGTCTTTCGTATCTTTTGCATTTGTTCCTGCTTTGGACTGATTTGGATCTTCCATCGGCAAGGAATAACCCGAAAGTAGATGGCCTACCCACACCCCGTCTTTCCTGTACTTGCAAAGAACGGGACTATGTTCACGGAGTAAACCAAATCTCTTCACTATAACTATCATAAATATTTCTATATTACATATTAAATCCAGACAGCAATCAGACTAGTATAAGATATTCACAGAATAAGTGACTTTCACATGTGAAAAAAGGTAAATACAACGCATACAAATTTCAAAGAGATGAAAGGGGAAGCGAGAAGAGGGAAGGAGAAAAAAAAGGGGGTGGGGAAGAGAGAGATGAAGAACGTGCCATCTATAGTCTGGTAATCCCATTTGTTTTTAGCAGATTAGTTACCTATTTACTTCAACACAATCAATCAAAATGATGAGGTTCAGTTCACAATTAATAAGTGATGCATCAAACCGCAAAAGAAGGAAACAAAGAATAAAGCTGGATATGAGCAAACTGTAAAATGCTATAACTTACAGGACTATATCCATATGCCGAGGAGCATAATGTCCACCACCTAATCCAAGAAGAACTTTATTCTTATCCTTCTCCCTAGATCGCCAATAATATAGAAAATGAAGTTAGAGAAGCATCAAACTTTGGTTAAAATTGCAAACAAAGACATGAGCTTTTCATGAAAATCAATATACCCGTTCCAGTTTCCAACAGCAGCTCCTCCTCCAAGCCCAAGTCCTTCCCAAACCAACTGCAAGAACAGAAATTGCCACCAATTTACTCTCATGAGTTGTTTATTCTATTATATTTTTAAAGATCAGGGAAAACTAGAAAGTAGAAACATTACAAAGAGGGAAAGTATTTATTCAACAGTAGGATGTATCAATGACTCTTGCTCAAATGATTCAAATTGTTAACTGTCTACTTAACTAGAGCAATAACTTGTGCTGCATCCTGCCTCTTCCAGTACTCATCTGTACTGCCTATATCAACCAGAAGGAACAAATCAAAAAAACAAAGAAACCCTCAAGTGCAGATAAAATACGAAAAACCACGTCATATACCGAAACTTCAGACCGAGCAGTTACAACACAAACACTAGAAATAGCAGAAGCAGTAAACTTTACCCTTTGAACGAAATAAATCAATTCCACGAACTGATCATCAAAAGGTATAAAAAAAGATGTTCATAAGATTACTAAAAACGCATTGGAGGAAAGTAAAAATTCATGCCGTGCAATGGAAATATGTATAATTTTCCCTTCCAAAAAAAAGAACAAATAGCATCATGCAATGTAGTTCCAGAATGAAAAGCATAAGAGCAATGGGGTTCATCAAAAACTCACCAATCTCTAAGAACATAGTGGGCGTATGCGTTACCGGTCCATGATGCGTACCCTCCAATGTAATCTACATTCAAACACACACAACAGTATAAAATATGAACACACAGACTCACACGCACACATTTACACAAACAGATGACGAGCATTAAAAAAGGAGATCAAGAGAGTGAGAAAGAAACCTCGAACTCAGGAACCAAGTTGTGGGCTTGGGCAAGCTTCTTCAGGTGCCTGAGCCAGGGTCCAATGCGGGGGCTCGGCGGCGCAGCCCAACCCGGCTTCCCGCCTTGCGGCCCAGCCTCGCCTTCACGCAGATGAGGAATTCCGATCGGGTGTACGGTCAGTGCCGGCCGGTTGGAGACGGCGGTGTGTTTGCTCAGGAATATCACCTCGTCGACTCGCTCCCCGGTGGCCTCCTCCCACCGCCTGTCCAAGTCGTCTTCTTCCACAATTCCCCTGCTGTGTAGCAAAACCCTCACTCCTCCTCCTCCATTAGCAAACCCCTTCATGTCCTGTAAACAGGAAGGGGAGGGGTCCCACCCGGGCATGGCTAGGACGGCATTGGCCGGGTTGATGGAGGCCGGGTCGGTCGTCGTCGCCACGATCAGCGTCACCATCTCCTTTGTCGTTTCTGTGGCTGTGCAGCTAGCAGCGTTGCGGAGGGGAAAGATGCTTTTGTTTACTGTTTTGCCGCGACTGGCAATGAAGCGAGAGATGGCCTTAAACGACGTCGGGTTGAGGAGATTTTGAAAAGATTCAAGTAGACAAGATAAAAACAACTACGTCTCTTGTAGCTTGATTTTGATCTCACTTTGCATATGTAACTCAAAAATCATCACTTTTTGAACTTAAAATTTATTCGTTTTACTGTGAGTTGTGGATTCTCTCTCCCTGACACTCATGGTTGCTTACTAAAACATATATGTGACCCAACACTCAATAAAACTATGTTACATATTCAATAAATTTGACTATTACTCCTCTTAGCATTTAACAATAAAAAATATTAAATTAAAAGAAATTGGAGAAATGAAAAGAAAAAAAAAAGAAAATTAATTAGCCTAGTGTATCTAAATCAAACATATATAAAAAATTAACAGATTTAAAATAAATGTAGAGCAATTTTGAAATTTATAGAGACGATTTTTGAGTTTCAGATGACAAAATAAAATCAAAATTGAGTTTTAAATGGTAAGCTCAAGTGAATTTTAAGTTTCTGAAAATGTAATGACAACTTTCAAATTACAGATAACAAGGTAAGATTAAAATCGAATTTTAGAACATAGCTAAAAATAAGCTTAAAAACTAAACACTCTGTGTGGGACGAAGAAAAGGAAATCTGTGATAATGGACGACATAAAGGGCGGTGTCGTCCGCGGCTAGATAAACGACATCAAGAAAGCACAGTGATCAGGGGGCGTTAGAAATTGCAGACAGCGTGGGAGGGAAGGGGATAGATGTTGAAGTTGCAGCGGCTATCTCTCGCGATGGCTCTCAAACCCCACCGCCTTCACTCCAGTATCTCTCTCTCTCTCCCCTGTGTATATTTATTTCCAGTTAAGCTTTTTGGAATTTACACTGGGAGTAATTGGCTCGCTCACAGTTGCAGATACGACGTCGCAGAGCGGACCCAAAAAGGCGAGGACGACGACCACCGAAACCTCCTCCATGAAAGACGCCTTCTCCAAATACGCCGATTCTCTCAACAATCTCGTAATCCCTAATTTAAACTTCACCAATTTGCAGCTCGGCGAGCGATTCGAAGGTTTTTACAAGGTGGGTTTTTGCCTGTTTTTTTTGTAGAATGACAAGCGGGAAAGGGTCGTAAAAGCAAGTCGCGATATCACCATTAACAGCAAAAAGGTCATCTTTCAGGTTCACAGGTAAGAAAGCTGCGACCTTTTGATTCAAATTTTGTTTCTGTTTTTTGGATTTTGGTTTTTTGTTTTTAATTTTTTTTTTAATTTTTATAATTTTGTTTATATCATCATTGAAATGCTGTTGCTATGGAATTTGAACTTGAACAGAATCAGTAAACACAACAAAGAGGAAGTCCTGCAGAAAGCTGAAAAGGATTTAATAGCTGTGACGGATCAGTACATTTCCCGGCTGGTTAGAGAGCTGCAGGGGACTGATTTTTGGAAGCTGAGACGAGCATACTCACCTGGGGTGAGTGTGGAGTTATCCTGCTTATGCTTCTAAATGTCGGGTTTCCGTTAATACCTGGTTAATTCACTTGTCAGTTTATGCTTGGACTTGTGCAGGTACAAGAATATGTTGAAGCTGCAACCTTCTGTAAATTTTGCAGGACTGGGACTCTTCTAAATCTTGAGGAGATAAATGCCACCTTGCTGCCACTCAGTGATCCGTCTCTTGAACCTTTGCAGATCAATGTACTTGATTATCTGCTCGGGGTATTTTCTTCAACCTGCGGTTAAATTATTTGTGTGAAATGAAAACTGTATGCCAGTTGATTAATTGAATATGGTTTTGGGATTAAGTGGACTGAATTTACTTTGTCTGTATTTATCAAAGAAAAACATATGTTAGTGTAAGTCAGGGACACACACACACACACTTAGAAATTAATACATTGGGAGGTGATGTCTTTATGCACCTGTTAGATTTAACGAGAGCTTTTGTATAAACACATTCTACATCCATTTCTCAACGACATGCATGTTTATGTTATCAGAAGAGTAACTCAGTGTTGTACTACTGTAGCTTGCAGATTTGACTGGAGAGCTGATGCGGTTGGCAATTGGTCGAATTTCAGATGGAGAACTTGAATTTGCTAATAAGATATGCAAGTTTGTGCGTGAAATTTACAGGGAACTGACCCTGGTTGTTCCATTAATGGAAGCTAGCAATGACATGAAGACAAAAATGGATACGATGCTTCAAAGTGTAATGAAGATAGAAAATGGTATAGTTTCGATGTCCAAAACTGTTATAAATACATTTGAATTCATGCTTTAGAATATGGTTATATAATATAGTCTTGAATATTGGGAATAACTAAATGAAATGATAAAACATAGGGAAATTTTCTCCTTCCAATTTGTGAATTCGAACAAAGTTGGAGTCCTTGAATTTTGAGCCATACAAGTGTATCTCTCCCTACAAATTGAGAATAAGAAGACATGAAAACTTTGAAAACATTTCAGAAGTAGTAATCAACCGTAACTAAATTCCGAATTCATATTATAATCTTAAATTGTGATTCTATCTTTTTTGCATGTATACTAGCAGAGCCCTAATAACTTCTTAATTTTTCTTTGTAAAAGTTTCTATCACTCTTTTTTTTCATCCCATAAGAGATATCCTTTTTAGTAACTTGTGATCTTTCTGTAGCTTGCTTCGGTGTTCATGTGAGAGGATCAGAGTATATGCCGCTACTTGGCTCCGACGATCCAACTTCCTTCTTATTGGCAGTGCCCGATGTTGAAATATGATGTAATTCCTGATTGTCACATTCTCATTCTTACTACTTAATTACTTATATTATAAGGTGTTCTAATTAACTAAGGAGAAGAGTTGTTGATTTCGACAAGGGTTGTATTTCAAGGAGCATATATAGCCACTTGCATTTCGTTCGGATGAATTTGCGGTTCATCATCATTATCTTCAGGTCGCTGCTTGATGAACAATTCCTGCGTATGTTTTCTCAGTAAAGCAGTAAGCTTTAAAATTCTTCTCTCTGTAATTTTTTGAGGATTAGATTTGTAGAGCTTGGAGCGAAACCCTTTGACACGAGGTTCACATGAGAATGCAGGATTGCCCTTTCCTGGTAATTTTTTATAGGTTATCTGGTAATTTCTTACTTTAATCAATTTATGCGAAGATGTCCCTGCAGTTTAGTATTGAACTCACGAAAAATATATATTATCATTGCATTCATGTGAGTTGAACACATCGATACCTCCTTCCAAGTGTCGTTAAATCATGTAATCGTCTGCATTTACATTGCTACTTGAGGAGACGGACTTGTGCTTCTGATGTACTTTCATCTTTGGCCACTAGGCAAGAATTACAATTACAATTAATTTCAATTGGACGACTTTTTCTTTTTTGGGTCAAACAAGATCACTTCCATTAAAAACTAGTACAAGGAGCAAAAGGAGCTAGCAAAACAACAAATAAAGCTAAAGGCTCAAGCAAAAGGAGAGCTCAAGCAGCATAAACCAAACCGTCCATGTTGTCATGTTCTCGGAGGAAACCAAACTTTAGGACTGAGAAAATGGACATTGGATCTAAGTTCCCTTCACGAACCCCTACAAATGCGTTCAAAGAAAGTATCTTATGGATTAGAAAGTGAGGCTGAGAAGAAGGTATGTAGAATACCCTTAATGTAGGAGAGGCCACATAGCATTTGGCCATGATGGGGATCTGGCATACTAGCTGGGGGAGTGAAAGTGAGGGAGGAAAGTGGATGTGATGTCCAATTTTTGATCGGAGCCCGTCAATCCGAGCACATGATGGGTGGGAATGGAATATCACAGCTAAGGAGGAGGGAGGAAGGAAAAGTTAATGACAAAAAGCAGAAAAGCATGCGAAAAACATCGAATAATGGGCATGAAGCCCAAATCTAAGACAAGCTTAAGGAATAATTGGGACTAGGTTAAAAGAAAATTGAGATAAAACTCAGGATAAAAGAAAAATGAAGAAGACTGGAAAGGGGAAAAGAAGAGGAGGGTGAGATACTGTGAAGAGGAAGAGGTAGAAGAGATGAGAGGGGAGGAAAGAAGAAAATAACAAAGGAGAAGGGAGGGAAGGAAGGAAGAGGGAAAGAGAGAGGGAGTAGTGGGTTGCCGCCTATCCCGAGCAAGAGTAAGGGGCACCGGCTGAAACTTTGAATTTGGGTAAACTGATACGAAGCACCATAATAGTGGTAATACACATGCCATATAAGTCATTCTCCTTCAATAAACAAACATTTAAGAAAAATGAATGCTAGTTTAACATAAAACATTCATTGAGTTGGATGATACCAAATAGGCAAAAAGATTTGGAATAAAAAATGTAGGACCATTGACCCTTATAACATTAATATTTGACGTTTACGTGTACCTATCACTTATATGTGTGTGTGTGTATATATTAGGTATTGTTTGGTACATAGACAGGACGGGACAAAACAGAGGTTCTGTGTCAAACTGAGACCTATGGATAGTAGAACCATGTCACTTGACGAAGCGTTCGATAAGTTCTGCCGGGGAGTAAGTACGTCCGGACCCTTTTGAGATCACGTACTAGGGTATTGGAAGGAAAGCTTAAAGAGGCCTGAAAGTGCATTTTTCATCAAGTTTGAGGAAATGAAAGAAGAGCCTGCTCTTCACCTGAGGAGGCTGGCCGAGTTCTTGGGGTGCCCATTTTCCCCGGAAGAAGAGACACATGGAGTTGTGACGGTATCTTAAGGTTGTGTAGTTTTGACAATTTAAGCAATTTGGTTGTGAATAAAAGTGGGAAATTGCCGCCCGGTATCGACACTAGTGCATTCTTTAGGAAAGGTGAAGTTGGAGATTGGATGAATTATTTGGCCACCGAGATGGTGAAAAAAATAGACTCCATTACTCAAGAGAAGTTGCATGGTTCCGGGTTAAAGTTCTAGGGTTTACATCTTTTTTTAATCTGTGTGAGAGTCTTTATCTGTGTGTGAGAGTTCTTCTTCTTGTGTGAGCAAGTTCTTCAAATTTCGGTAAATCGTTTTGTCGCTGGCCCTAGCCATGGCCAACGTCGATCGGTGGCAGCCCTTTATCTGTGTGTGAGGGTTTTTGTGTGTTTAGCTATGTAAGCTCATCTTTTAGGTTGGGCATTTCTTTTGTAGTTGTTTTGGAGGTCCCAATGGTGATGTGTGCTCTGTGTGTTTTTAGGCCTCCACTCTTGTATGTGTGGTGTGTTGGTAATAAAATGTCACCTTTTGACCATAAAAAAAAAATGTATTCCAAGGTTTGCTTATTACTGCTTATGACAGCTTTATTTATTTGGGGTTGAGAAGTCATTAATGAGTAAGAGAAAGATGAAAAATGTATATATATATGGGATCAACTAGTTCTCTGCAAATCTGTAATCCTACTCTGATTACTAAAATTACCACTAGTTCCACCTTCCTAGGAAAGTTTGATCACTACAAAAAAAGGCAATAATCACGCTTTTGAAAGTATTGAAGGAGTGAACATAACTTGAATCAATCGATTCTGGCTCTCTTTCTCGCTCCCTTATACTCTTTCTTTTTCGATTTGCATCAGATCTATTTTTTGTTTTCGGTTTTAATTTGGATTTTGAAATTTGACTTTTCATATCTGAACTTCTTGTTCGTGAATTTGAGTTGGATTCCTTCAATTTTAAGTCATACGAGTTCTCTCTCCCTATAAATTGAGAATAAGAAAACATGAAAACTATGAAAACATTTCAAAATCACCCCCGTAATTAAATTCCGAATTCATATTATAATCTTAAATTGTTATTCTATCTTTTTTTGCATGTGTACTAGCATAGCCCTAACAACTTCTCAATTCTTCGTCGTAATTTTTATCACTTTTTTTTTTTTTTTCTCCAAAAGAGAAATCTTTTTTAATAACTTGAGATCTTTCTGTAGCTTGCTTCGGTGTTCATGTAAGAGGTTCAGAATGTATGCCGCTACTTGGCTCCGACGATCCAACTTCCTTCGTATTGGCTGTGCCCGATGTTGAAATATGATGTAATTCCTGATTGTCACACTTAATTAATACCTTCTCCTCTCAAGTGTCGTTAAATCATGTAATCATTTGCATTTACATTGTTACTTGAGGAGATGGATTGTGCTTTTGATATACTTTTCATCCTTGGCCACTAGGCAAGAGTTACAATTACAATTGATTTCAATTGGACTACCATTTTTTTTTGGTTAATTGCTTTTTTAATAGAAAGCTTAACAGATGTATGAAATTATCCAAGAATCATTACTTTAGGTACAGATAAAAAAAACTTGATGTATGAAATGTTGAAAATCAAGAAATTTCAAGGTAGTAAATTGAGATTTATCCTACTTTTTAATTTATTAATTTTTATTTTTTAACTTTTAATTGTTTAATTTTTATTTTTTTTAATGTCCACGTGGCGTTAGATGGACACGTGACGTCCAATCATTGTCCAGGCCGGTGCCACATCATCAGTTAACTGAGGTTCTGACAGAAAACTTAACAGATGTATGAAAGCGTCCTATAATTATGACTTTAGATACTAAACTGGGATGAAAAAAACTTAATATATAAAATGTTGAAAACCAAGAAACTTTAAGGTAGTAAACTGAGATTAACCCAACTTGAAAAGTAGACATTATGTAAGGTTATGTCCAATCAAAATGGCTAAACATGACACAATTCATAATTATAGTCATACAAAAAATTATTTTTAAATAAACAGTATCAAACCATACTCATATATCATCTCTAACCGAAAGACTAAAAATAGTCATTTTCAATAATTTATTAGTTGTAAGTTTATACTTTAAATATATTGGTTAATTTAATTAAAATACAGTTGGAGGTTTTTAAATCTAGCTATTAAATTTGAATTAATTACTGCAACCGAGTAGTTGAGCCCAAAAAAAAGGGCTAAGAGAGGGCTACATTGCCAAGCCTAACGCCCTTTTAACCGAATAATAGTCTAACAGGCTCCATAGAATTATAGCTTTGAAGATGAGTTTTTGACAAAATCAGACCATTTTTTGGTATTGAACCTTTAGCCATATCTATTGGAGATGATCTAAGCGGAAATCCATGTTAATGAACGACATCAAGGGTGGAGCAATGGTTCATCAACTAAAAATCATTGATCATTGATCCCTTAACTCATCAAAACGTACAGCTATGGTTATTGTCATCAATTTCGTTAGAACTTTCGTCAAAATGAGTCACGTGTCACACACGTGATGCTGAATCAAGAGATAGATATGAATAACTAAATGAAAAAAATTGTAGCAATAATCCCTTAATGTTAACCCAATGGGAGCAACGATCTCTCAACGTTAACTCAATTGTAATAACGGTCCTTCTAACATGACTCATTTTTTTACAAAATTCGAACATAGTTAATGAAAATGACCATAGCTATATGTTTTGATAAGTTAAGAGACCAATAGTAATAGATTTTTAGTTTAATGACTATTACTCTAATTAAAGTTGAGGAATTATTGTTACAATTTTCTCTTGTAGATGGTGTGGGATAGAAGGGGACAGATGTTAAAGTTGCAGCGCTTATCTCTGGCGATGGCTCTCCAACCCCACCACCTTCACTCCAGGATCTCTTTCTCTCCTCTGTATTTTTATTTCCAGCTAAACTTATCGGATTTTAAACTGAGAGTAATCGGCTCGCTCACAGTTGTAGGAACGACGTCGCAGAGCGTACCGAAAAAGGCAGGATGATGACCACTGAAACCTCCTACATGAAAGACGCCTTCTCCAAATACACTGATTACATCAACAATCTCGTCAATCCCTAATTTAATTTCCCCCAATTTGCAGCTTTGCGGGTGCTTCAAAGGGTCGTAAAAGCAATGTTGTTTTTTTGCCTGTTTTGTTTGTAGAACGACAAGCGGGAAAGGGTCGTAAAAGCAAGTCGCGATATCACCATTAACAGCAAAAAGGTCATCTTTCAGGTCCACAGGTAAGAGAGCTGCAGCCTGCAGGGGACTGATTTTAGAAGTAGGATTA